CGCAGGACCCCGCGCGCCGGGCCGGGGAAGGGGGCGTCGTCGAGGGGCTGGTGCGCGAGCTCCGCCGCGCCGCCGCCGGGCCGGAGCTGGTCGAAACCCTCATCGGGATCGTCCGGGCGTTGGGGGGGGAGCTTGCAAACCAGCGCGCCCGCCACGCGCGCGAGATCCGCGCGCTGGAGGACCGGCTGGTGGCTCTCGAGCGACCGCAACGGACGGGCATCGAGAACCGATCCATCGTTGGCATCCTTTCCACACGGACTGAAGGTGACGACCTACAGGACTTTTGCCCGCTTCGCGCCAACTCCGGCATCTCCGTGCTTCGGAATACGCCTTCCGTTTCCTTTAACTCGCATTTAAACCACCAGCGGACGAGAAGTCAGGCGAGCGAGACCACGGAAACCTCCCGGAGTATCGCAATGATGTCAAGGAGTAGTCTTCATAATAATCATATCCCTGGCAATAGTGATGATACTCCTAATAAATTGAGCATTATCCCTCATGTCGGCGGCGGCGAGCTGCAGGAGATCGCGCCGGGGGAGGCCTCCTTACAGCGCTCCGCTACCGTGCAGAACTTTCCGCCCCGCATCGAGCCTTCGCCCTCGCAGGATCTCAACCCTCCTCGACGAAAATCTCTCCACTCGCTCACAAATTGATGACAAATAATACTAACAATGAAACTTTGCATGGAATATCTGAATGAATAGAGGATGCACTAAATAGAATAAAGAGGGGGAGAAAAGAGGAACAACTAGTCTTTATCAGCTAAGAACCGGATGTAATGTTTGTTTTCCTTTTTGAAGTTTCATATCACCATTTTTATTAAAATCATCTTGCTGTGTGAGCTTCATTATATTCTCTAAATTGGTTCGGGCTCCTTTTTTTACATGGGTTGCTCCTTGATTCTCCTCGTACAAGGAATTGAGATGTAGAAGAAACTAATCTTTATTTTTATTATTATTATAGAAATTACATAATAGAAGTCGATAGAGGTATGCTTGTTCGCTTTGAATTTTTTAGAGAACTATGCAGATTTATCATTATCTATGTTTTTTTGTGTTTTTATGTATTCAAATTTATAAACATCGTAATACTTTTTCATCAGTATTATTCCCCCATTCACCAAAAGATAAATTGAATACATCCAAAAATCAAAGAAAAACTTTTCTGTAAACTTTTGCAGAAGTAAAATGATGCGCATTCCTATATACCCTTGTACTTTTTTTCACATTATAGAATTCCAATTACCTTTCAAGAAAGAAAGAAAAATGGGATATCTCTGCAAATACCATCGCTACGTGTGGAATGCTTTCTCGATTAATGTTTTTTTTTATCACTTTCTAGGTTACTGCTTTATCAGAATGCAACAAATATATTATCATTATTGACCTCAATATGAGAAGAAAAAACAAAAAATCGAACAAAATTGAACGCTATTTAAAGAAGCAAAGAAATTACAATACGTATAAAGGTATCCCTAACAATCTATTCTGACGCTAATTTTGTGGAAAATTCAGGTTGTAAACGACGAAGATATCACTCCTTCTGTTGTGATTTCTATTAGTCCTTTTTCTCTTTATCTATGTAGTGCGTAATAAGAGCCTTTTTCCATTTATCCACGCAATTTTTCTTTGCATATATATTTATTTATACTATATTTAATAATGAAAAGGCGGAAGTACATTTTAATAAAATCGAAGGGCATGTGATAGAAATTTTTATTCCTCCTTTTTTTCTATTTTTTAATGTGTAGCTACTATTTCTTATTAGTGTGATAAAAGTTAAATAGCAAAAGTGGACATATTCTCTGTCTTCTGAAGAATATATAGGTTCGTTTTGTTTATTCTATTCTTCTTTTTATTATTGCATTTGGAAATGAGATTGAGGATGAATACCTCCGAACAACCTTCTGAATGGCGTCAACATTCACGGAAGGTTCTCGGCAGGGCGCCAAATTTTCCGTCCGCCAATCTTTTCTTAAGAGCATTTCGCGTAATTCCACAAAACCCAAACATTCACTCTACCGCTACTTTTGATAATACCAATACTACCGCTACCACTGCTACAACAACTACTATTAATAATCCAACCCCTGCTTCATTTACGCCTGTGATCAGTGCCTATAAGGAAACTGCGGTGCGCATTCAGCGTATTTTGAGTGCCTGGACAGATCAAAACTTCACCTTGCTGAAAAAGCTTATTGAGGAGTGGGGGGATCTCTTTGACCCATCCCTCCCGAACGCCATGACCTTTTTCGTCGGGTTTGGCGGCGTCGAGGTGTTCGTGCGGGTGTTGTGCGAGCCCCCCCGCCTCTTTGAGCGGCATAACCATTACTACTACCCCCGCAGTGATCTTGTGCAGATTCTGATGATGGTGATGAAAATCCTGACGGAGGTCTTGCTCAACCATACCGAGCTTAGCTGGGTTTTGTACGATCGCTTTCCCGGTGTTTTCTTCCGCTTGTTGGAGCTGATTGGCGTCCCCTCCCTCCGTCAGGCGGCCACACCGCTCTTGGAGCATCTGATTTCTAATCTCGGCCCGATCTTTGAGATCGCGCGGACACCGCTTTTGATCAAACTGCTTCACGCGAAGGATGAAGGGGTGCTGGCGAGTGTGTACCGTGTGGTGGCCTTGTTGGTGGTTCCTTTTCTGGCCTTAAGTCATTCCCCCCTCCCCTCTCGCCATCTTCTTCACCCGGAGTCGATGCTCCTGCTTAAACGCGTGCAAAGGGTGATTGACAGCAATGTACTTTGGCTGCTCGCGCAGCCAAATTTGATGGATCGCCTGATTAAACTTTGCGAGATTCGCGTGAGTGGGATTCGGATGTTGAATGGACATTATATCACGCTGGTGACCCCGTACGCCGCGAATATGATGCGAAATTACCTCAACCAGGCCAATCCCCTCCTGAACGCCTCGGAAAGTATGCTTATTAGCAGTATTGAAGGGGGTTATTTTCAGGAGGAGGAGGGAGAGATGGGAGGGGAGGGAGGCTTTGACGGGGTGATGGGGTCGTTCTGGCATACGTTGGGGACATTACCAAGCCTGGAGCCCCTCGTTCCGGGGTTTTTTAACCTGATGGCAAACACCAACGACGTGACCGACATTTTTGAGAATGTCAATAATGTTATCTCTGGGGGAATGCTAGGGTTTTTCGATCAATCCGTCGAGGAAACGATCCAAACATCGAATCCAATCCCAGAGGATGCTTTTCGTGTGGATTTTAGCTGGTTTTTAGGGGTTAGTGATGCCCGTCAGCGCTGGCGTTTGCAGGACCTCACGTTGACGATGGCGGAGGACGATACGCGGCCACAGCTTTATTACGGCTACGGTGATAGCGAAACCGTTCAGCGATTTTATTTGAACAATCAGGCGGTGATTAATTGGATCGCCGCCAAGCCTTCGCTAACACGTGAGGTGAATGAATACTTAAGACTAATGACTTTGCGTAGTGTGGTGGAATCGCAGAGCGAGATTCTATTTGTTCTGAATGTCATGCTTTCGACGTTTTCCTTTAGTGATGCGTGGACGAAAATAAAAGATTGCCGTTGGATCCCCCGTGCGGATCGGATATACGACACCGCGTTTTTTTTAAACGAGGAATTAGCCCCTTTAGTGGAACTTCCCCAACACGTAGAATTGCCCGATTGGCTGCGTAAATTACCTCGTTTTCAGCCCTCCCCCCCTCCCTTTTCGGACGAGTCCGCTAAGGAGGGGGAGGAATCTGAAAAAGACCCAAATCGAAAGAAAAAGGAGAACTTCAGGGCGTTGAGTTCTTTGAATACCTCCGATTTGTACCCCGCTCATTGGAAGCTTCGACCTTTTCACGCGTTCTTCAACTCAGAACGGGAGGCTTACGCGAAGGATTTCAGCGCGAGCATGCTCCACGACCAGGATGACTTCTGTGAGGATAAACATCACTACCAGCATGGGGCCGATACGATACGAAAGCTAGAGCTTATTCACTGCATTCACGAGTTTTGGAATATGCAGGATCGGCAGGAATGCACGCTTTTGCATAGCGAGGACATCCCCCAATATGCGAAATCCATTGCGGCGAAGATGGCTCGTAGTCTGGCTTCTGGTAAGGAGGAAAGCTGCGTGGAGGCGGCGCTTTCTCACACGTTGGAAGGCTATTTACGGTGCTTTTCCTTTCCGTATGGGATCAACCGAAATGCACTGAATTCCCCCCAAACCCTTCTCGGTGCGATCCTTCTGCGTTCAATTTTAGAGCATCGGATCTACAACACCACCCGCCTTCCAGGTTATATGGGTTCTTTAAAACCGCTTAAGCGATTCGAGGCGATTTTTTCGTTAACCGCGGAACTCGTGCGGTACCATTTTAGAAATCTTCGTTTGTTAGTGGCGTACGTGTCTGGGGAAAACTCACTGATTCATCTGAACGATCCGAAAATGACTCGCAGGTCCCCGCACATCATCTTCCACTTTGTGAATACTACTAACAACAATGACAATAATGACGGCGAGGATGGAAACCACGATGCTCGTTATTATAAACCGTATGTTGAGTTTCTCGAAAGTCCGCCTTTAGAGCGATGTGAGTTTGAGCCCTTTGGTTGCATTCTTCTCAGTCGTTTATTTCGTTTTGGCTGTGAGGCCAATCTATTCATTCGTGCGATCATGCTTTCCATCACACCCGGCTTACGCTCCTCGCAAAACTACATCGCGAAGGCTTTTCCTAATATTGAGGATACACAGCCCACGGTGTTGCCGGTTCGAGCTTATAACCATGTGGGCGATCCTTTTACGGCCTATCCGATGCGCCTGGCGTATATTCGACAAGTTTCTCGAAAGTATGTCCTTTCGATTAATAAAGTCTTATCTAAAACTAGAGCGATTCAGTCTTTATCTTCTACGTTAAAAGGGAAGGAAAATCTACAAGGCGATGGAAGCGATTTGACATCAATTCCGAATTTACTGATTTCTCTGCTTGACGAGCTCTTGAACGCGCCGCATCGTTTGGCGTTAAAAGAACGCCCCTTTCCAAATTTGTTCAGTGAAGATGATCGTCGTTTTCTCCGCGGCGAAAATATTGATAACAATAATTCACCTAACGTGGAAGGGAATAGCGAAAATCATATTATTTTCGGTCCGCCGCCGCACTGGAGGCTGCCGTTATTCTCGGAGGATGATTTTTCTGACGCGAGGGACTTGCGTGAACTCAATCCATTGGATGCTTGTCTATTTGCTCAACCTTATAAGCTTCTTTTTAGTATTCTCTCCCCTCTTAACGCGGAGTTAATGATGAGTACGACCCGATTATGCGCGATTACCACTGTTCTTCTTCTTTTTCTTCGTGAGGCCCACCTCCAATGTCGGATTTCCGCCATTGATGATATTCTACATCGTCTACGGCCTCTGGCCGAGCGTCGATATCGTAAATGGCAGCGAAAATCCCGACGGGAAAAGGCTCGACACGATCAATCGCCAAAAGATTCGTTGAAAAATGTTCAAAAGGCCCATTCGCTTTGCACGGAATGTGAAAGCACACGCTCCATGGGAGGAGGGGGCCGATGCTCCACATTTTTAGCCTTTGGTGAGTGTTTTCCCCTGAACGAGGCGCGGCTTTATTATTTATGCTGTGGAGGATGCTTTTATCGTAATTTCTTCCGGCTGCTTTGCGTGTGGACAGGGCACTACGCGACCTGCCAGAACTACCTCGAGACCTTATATTTTTCCACAGAGGTGGCGTTTGCGGAGTATAAGACGGTTCTTCTTTACCTATTGAGGGTGTTGCCGAACTATTTCTTCCCGTCGATGAATTAGCAATAGAAACGAAATTAATGTGCAAGGGGAATAAAAGAAGGGGAGATCAAATGGAGTGGAGGGTTCTTGTCTATTTAATTGTAAATTAGATGCCATTGATAAACTTGGCTTGATTTGTTCTTTTTTATTGATGTGTTAATTCATTTTTTTTTTACAAGGGAGTTACTTTTTTACTCTTTTTCCATCTTTCTTATTTATAAACTAGTATTAAGTCTGTGACTCTCCCCCTCTTAGCAAAAAAAATCGTGTATCGACTTTTACTAATATGTTATATATATATATATATAATTTTCATTTGTTGTGCTAGAGAAACAAAGAATATAATAGAAACTTCAAGTTTATTTTCATTGTGACTTCTTTATTTTTTCATTTTAGACTTGCGTGAAATCCTGGATTTGAGTTTTCTGCTACTACATGTGAATGCATACTCGGCTTTCTTTTACCTCCTCCCCCCCTCTCCTTCCCCCTCCATCCCTCCTCTCTTCCTCTTCCCACCCTCCCACTTATGTCTTTGCTAACACTATTAAGAGTGTCTCAATGGTGTCTAAAGTGCAATTGGACCTGTTACAGTTACAGTTATGGTTACGGTTACGGTTACTGTGGTGTATTCCCTGTGTAACCCTTACGCCTTAGTCTTATTGAATACCCCCCTCCTTTTTTCCCTCTGTTACATTGCTAAGCTCAGGTGTTTAAATACCCATTGAGACCACCCTATCAGTATCTTAGTTTAGTTTGTTTTTTAGCTGTTGCACAACCCACCCGAGTGCGTTTTTTCCCCTTGTTGTCTACTGGACCAATCTCACCTCCCGGGTTTCCATGGTACGAACGATTGCCTTTGCCTCAGACCACACGGTCTACGGAGGGCAGGAGGAGATCGCCGCGATGATTGCCGCGTCTGGGGAAGACGTTCAGCCGCTTTACCTTGGCCCCACAACGGCCGACGCTGTGGACTACCCCGACTACGCCGAGAAGGTCACCATGGCGGTGAAGGCGGGCGAGGCCGATCTCGGCATTCTACTTTGCTGGACCGGGATTGGCATGAGCATCGCGGCGAATAAAATCCACGGTATCCGCGCCGCCCTCTGTCATGATCAGACCACCGCTCGGCTCACCCGCCTGCATAACGATTCGAATGTTCTTTGTGTGGGCTACGGCGTGGTGGGGAAGGAGGTCCTGCGGGATATTATTACGACCTTTCTTTCCACAGAGTTTTCAAACAAGGAGCGGCATCAGGTCCGGGTCGATAAGGTCATGGCGCTTGAAACGAAGACGGATTGATGAAGGCGTAAAGAGTTTCGTCCTTTCTTTTTTTCCTTATTACTTCTTTTTCTCTCTTTATAAGTATAAATAAACATACATATGAGGAGGGGTTTGTAAATTTTCCATATTGGTGAGAAGAATGAATTTACATGCTTGACGGAATATTGTTTTATGTTCCTTCCTCTTCCCCATAAAATTTCCTATCATTCTGTGGATAAATGAGGTCGTGGAGCAAATTCAAGGGGCGGTAATTATATTCCTATCTATAAGTCGCTTAAACAAGCATGGAAAAAAATGATTTCAACAGTAAAAAAAATGAGGTAAATAAGTGATCAAGAAGAAAATTTAAATATATTCTTTTGTTACTTTACGGCATGGGAAATTTCTTTATTTTAAGCGTTTCCAAAACATGATTTTTCTTTCTATTATCCATTTTCATGCCTCCGTTCCGTATACACCTATATCGCAATACCAATATTTTCTTTTTAAGGTAAACGATTGCTAAATTATACATAGTGAATTCAGAATAAATTTAAAAAGAGTAATCTAACTGACTCTGTGATCGAACATTTTATATTACTCCACTTTTGTTTTTTAGTGGAGGCCTTCCATATGATGGAAGATGCTATGCGATTATGTGGCGGGATCCTTAAAATTTTAAAGGTTATCTAATATATCACCAACATCAAAGAGCACTCATTAGGGCCTTTGACTGAATATTCACATGAAATGAATTCTATCCATGACGAGAGAAAAGATATTTTTTACCCAAAATGAATTGCGTATTTTTTTCTTCCTTTATTTTAGTGAAGAATGAAAAAGAGTAAGGGGATTATCATTGATTTTATCATTTCATCAAAATAAGCTCAATTTTATTTTACCAAGTTCGATAAACCACAACTTCATACATATAAAAAGAACTGATATCGAATTTGTAGTTTTATATATGCGTCTTTTTCGTTAATCCTTCTTTTGGAGTTCACCCCGTTTCACGTGATAACTCTAACCATATGTTTACCAGAGGTCTTTTCATACTTTACTCCACCACACGATGCGTTTTGCGTCCCTTCTGCCATCCTACCCCCGTTTTATTCACAAAGGGGTCTAAATACAACATCCAACGGGGTATTCCATTTTCTTCTTCCTATTCTCCTGAATCCTCCTCCTCGTTTTCGTCGTCATCTTCGTCGATAGAGAATCTGGAGAAGGCGATTTCACGGATGCGTAATATCGGCATTGTCGCCCACATCGACGCCGGCAAGACAACGACAACGGAGCAGATGCTCTTTCACGCCGGCCTGATCAAACGCGCCGGGGACGTCGACAGCGGCACCACCACCACCGATTTCATGAAGGAAGAGATTGACCGTGGGATTACCATTCAATCCGCCGCCGTTTCCTTCCCCTGGAAGGATAGTTTTATTCATTTAATCGATACCCCCGGTCATGTCGATTTTACCGTCGAGGTCGAGCGGGCTCTACGGGTGGTGGACGGCGTCGTGGCGCTTTTCGACGCCTCCGTAGGGGTTCAGGCCCAGAATTACACCGTTTTTCGCCAGAGTCGTAAATTCCACACGCCGATGATTGCTTTTTTAAACAAGATGGACAAAATGAACGCGAATTACGAAATGGCGGTGCGATCGATCCGTGAGAAACTTAAGGTGCGTCCGGTTTTACTGCAGCTTCCGCTTCATGCGGAGGACGGCGCATTTGAGGGGATTGCGGATCTCGTGGAGATGAAAACGTATCGGTTCAATGTGAACCACCTTGGCGAAAAAACCACTGAGGTGAAGTCTTTCGACATGGATTCCCCTTTCACCGAGCACGAGCACGTCGTGGCGGCCTGCAAGGAGGCCCGACATGATCTAATTACGCAGGTCACCGAATTGGATGATGCGCTTTCCCTCCGCCTCATCGAGGCGCTCGACGCGACCGACGGGGCGGAGGAAAAGGCCGAATCTCGGCTCTCCCCCGACGACCTCCGCCGCGCGATTCGCCGGGTACTTCTTCTCGCGCCCCCTTCCTCAAATTCGACCTGCAATAATTCCTTTTCGGCCCCGGTGGTGCCGATTTTGTTCGGGGCTGCTCGTCGGGACCAGGGCGTCCCCGCGTTGCTGGACGCCGTGCGGGATTACCTCCCCTCCCCGCGGGATCGCCGGGTGTGGGGCCTCACCCGCGCCGGACGGCCCTCTCCCCTCCCCCCCCCGACCGCCGATTTCTCCGCCCCGCTTTTCGTCCTCGCGTTCAAAGTCCAC